TGAAACGACTGCGAGTAACAATTAATATCGCAGATCATTGTTACGTGGAATTCACACACGTGCAAAGTGTATGCAAATATAAATTTTTGTGAGTTGTCCGGTTGGGCAGTATATGTTTGTACGATGTGTGAAGGAAAACAATTGTTCCACAACACATGTACCTTTTTGTTTTTTTTTGTAGGGCGAGAACTACAAACAAGGGAGATTGCGATGATTGCGATGATTGCGGAGTTCATGAGGGCCATTTGGGCCGTTTGGGCAGCTGTCAGATCGCAACCTGAGGCGATTCGAATTTTCTGATCACGCAAAACAATTGTATCGTTTTCCCTCCATGTTAGACATTGCTAGACTGTCATGTCATATATGTCATGTTTTCACATGTTCTGTGTTTGTTTTCCTGGGAACACTCGAAACACTCCGCATCCGAGTGAACTTTGTCAAACTGGTTCTTCTGTGGAATTGAAAACGATTTTGGCACTTTCAGGTTGACCTCCAAAGTGGGAAAAACCTGATGAACCTCTTCCTCAATTGCAGCACAGTCAGCACATCGTTTCGGGACCGCAAATGACACCACGACAACTTGCTAATGCCGTTTGGACAGCAGGCAGCCGCAGCTTTCATGTTGGTTGAACCGGGTCATTTGCAATTTTTAGACACCATGTGGGTGGAGCAAAAATGGAGGCACGACAGGACATACTCAAGGATTTAGGAGATGAACATGCTAACGTTTGACATGATGGATGTAGCACATTTGGGTAATTTTGGGTACCTCTCGTGAAATTTTTGCCAGGCAAATTGAAAGCACGGGATTCACTCGGTCCACTCGGTTCACTCACCTCTCGAGTAGCTACAGTGGTCACCGAATTGGATGTCTCAGACTTTGCAAACTTGGTGCCTAGGCAACATCCAGATTGGCCAACATTTTGCAGCATCTTAGCCTGTCCTTGTCCTTTTTATACCTTGATCTATTCTTTGTTTGTGTCGCAATGATGAAATCAACTTGAAACCATTGATGCTTCAACTGAAACCTGTCTTTAAGCAGTATGTCATTACAATACTGTCTTTATTACTGTTCTGGAGCCTTCTGGAGCCTTCTGGACGAGGTGTGGACCTACGGCACACTTCGTGTTTCCGATGCGGACGCAGGGTTATTTCGAAGAATGCAGTCGCTGCTACATCAGTTCAGCGTGCAGGAACTTGTAAGCAGGACGTGAAGCACAGGCCGACAGGAAAATATGGATGCAAAGCAGAGTGGGTCAATTAGACTGCAGTCATGGTATGTTTTCCAGACTTTTCCAGACTGAAGGTGCTTTGCAAGCTGGAGACGCCTCCTTGACGTCGCTTGCTGCGCTGCAACTCGCTGTGAATGATTCGTTGTTGCAGTTCTCGCTGCAGCAGCTTGCAAGCGTCGCTTGATACCTGGGCAAGTTATCGGCAGCTGCAGCCCTGCCAGATGTGTGCTACACTCAGAATTGTACCATGCTTGTACTATGCTTGTGCTGTCAGGAGGAAACAAAATCTCATTCATGGCTTCATACTTCCCCATCCATGTCATTTTCACTGCCTTGCCAGCAGTGCTGCTCCTGTTTGCTGCCAAGTTTCAGAAACTGTGACAGTTGATTCAGTCGATTTACTTTTTGAAAATTTGTATCTTTTGTGTTTCACCAATGACCAACCCATGTGACCATATCGAGGTGTACCTTCAGCCGCAGGTTGCTAAAGAATGCCAAATATTCACCACAGGATCTCGCAAATCTTGCATAGGACAGCACCTGTGGGCTTCAGATAGAAAGTGTGTGGAAGTTTGTGGCGAGTTGATTCAAATTGCATTTCTTCTCATTGTAATATCAAGGTTTTGATTATTTGCTCCCTCTGGCTCCCTCTGGATTTCACCTGGAGGAAATGGCGAAAGCGAAACAGGTTGATGAGAAACTTTTTGAGATGATCCTCCAAAAAGCTCTTTGGACATCTTTGGACTGCACGTCGTCGCAGTGTTGTCATATGTTATCGGAATCCTAACCTTTCAGAGTTTCGGCAAAGCTTGCTGTATTGCAGTGCAGTAAGCATCGCAGTCCATCTGGCCAAGTGCTTATTGAACTGTTTAGGCAGTGAGCCGAATTCCTGAGTTCAAAGTCATGGAGATTTCCAGCATCGCATAGAATTCTGCCAGCGTTCGCGCATCTGCAGAGCCCATGATGTCAGCAATTTGTCAGGGGCTGAACCTTTTGTTTTGCACTTCTTGGTGCCAATCTAGGCTAATTTGCTACAAGGGATAAACCAGGGATAGGACGATAGGACTGGAGCTTTCAAGGAATTGATCGAGGGATCATTTTTAGAACTGATCAAGTGCCACAACACAAATCAACAAATCAACAAATCAACACAACAAACGACAGATTTTGGTCCCACTTTCGTTTGTTTTCGTTTGTTTTCGATCTTTCGTTTGTTTTCGATCTTTCGTTTGTTTCATTTGTTTCGTTCCGCTGCTGCTGAGGTGAAGTTCTCCCCGAGCTGAGCCGCTCCCGCAGCTTGCCGGGGCTGCTGTGGGCCTTCGCCGCAATGGCGTGGTCCTATCCGGCCGAGGCAACTTCAACTCAGAAAGGACCACGAAAGTAGATGATGATTTTAGATGTAGATGAGTACAGTATGAATTTTCGGCAAAAAAACAAGGTTTTGAGTACAGGATGAGTACAGGATGAGTCTAGCAGGTGATCTGACAGATGATCTGACCATTTGATGTAACATGCATGTAAAATGATTTAAAGTCAGTGATGCAGGAATGATGGCTGAATGATAGCTGGTGAAAAGACAATCAAAGACAATCAAAGACATACATATCATACATGGCCATTGCATGTGCTAAGCTTTGAAGGCAAAAACTTGATTTCACATCATTTCACTGTGCCATTGCTGACCTTTCGGAGTCCTCAAGCGCACACTTCACCCACCCCTGTGTGTTTGTTGCCTTATGTTGAATATTTCCGTTAGGCCGTTAGGTACTACTGTGTACTCGTCATCGCATTGGCACCAACAGTGATCAAGTAATCAAGCAGATGCAGGCCCTGGCAGAGACAGCCCGTGCCATACTTTCGACAAATCTGAACCCGCAGAGCATTGCAGCTACGGCGCTTGGCTGCAAATGTTTTTTGACGTTCGAGTCGATCATACGTCCGCTGGGCTTTGCCACGGAATCGGCGTGGAAACTTGATGGAACATTACATTAACATGCTTCACGGATCTTCACAGACTTCAAGGAACTTCATGCTTCATGGAATGCTTCACGACTGACATCGAATCGAGGTTTGATGGACCGCTCGCTTGAAACTGAACCTTCCGCTCAACGTCCCGCTCGCCTCAGTGAAGCACTTCGGATCGCAGGAGTTGTCCAACACAGGCGATACAGACCAGCTACAGATAAATACAAAGGCAATATAAAACAATCATCACATAATAATCATAACATAACATATATAATATATTCTATATATAAGTATATATAATTATATAATACATACACAGATATGTATCCGCTAATAAATGCATTGTATATGGAGATATGTTTTTAGATGCAGACAGAATTGATTTTGACACGTGTTTGCGTGGCCCCTCCACTTTCAGATGCCAGGCTGAAGCTTGGCCACATTGATGTTGACCAACCATGAACTGTTGGGTGCCATTGAAGAACGTCAGTGGATGGTGCTCAACGTTCGCTGACTGCATGAAGCCACAGCAAAGGTCATGGCTGATGAAATCTGAACCCGATGATACGACTTCAGTGCTTCCACTTTGTTCAACAGAGGTGTGCAAGGCAGTTTGCACCACTAGGAAGAAGCGTTTCAATGCATGAGTAGGGTGTTTGTGCAGTCTTTTGCTCGCCATTCTCAACTCAATCTTTCCATATTTTCCCTGGAAGTACACTACACTTACTGCAAGCTTCTGTGAATATCCTCTTGGCTTCTCCAAGGCCAGCAAGCCACAGGAGCTCGCCAGTATAAGCTAGGTGGGGCATGGTGGAGTGCATCTCTCTCCCAGAATGCGAAGCTTCCTAGGATTTTGATGGATTTTGTACATACACAACTTCAACAAACTGAAAGACAAACAGGATTAGACATTGCGCATCACATGAGCAGCATAAATGCAGCATAGACTTTTTGTTGACTCTGAATGAATCTGATACTGACGCGGACTGACGCAGGGGTTTGCCATTCTGCAGCACTGGGCCGAGCCATTGCTTGTGGCCATGGCTCGACGTCTTCTTTCAGAGGTCAGAATGGGAAGTAGATGGAAGTCTGATGGAAGTCTGATGGAAGTCTGATGGAAGTCTGATGGAAGTCTGATGGAAGTAGGAAGGCTATGGAAGTTCGGAAGGCTGCAGTTCAACCCCTGTTTTTTCAGAGCAGGAAACGAGTCTGTATCAACCTTTTTTGCATCAGTCATTTCTGATTTAGACTGTGCCCAATCTGCGAGAGCTAGAGATCCATCGTTTTCAGCAACCTGGTAGCATCTGGTAGAATGTGGTAGCTATTTCTTAGCGGGATCCGCCAGTGAAGGTTGAACTGGAAGCACGGCATTTGTCCAGTACAGCCTGAGCTTTTGCTCGAACCTTACTGCTGGAAATGCCGCTGTTGGTCAGGACGAGAATTCGCACAAACTAAGGCGAAGTTTCCAATGATCCAAACAAATGTCTTCCCAAACAAATGGCTTGTTGGTAAATGAACGGTGCAATGCCTGGAATGGTAGATAGTCCGACAGTCCACTTAGATTATATATATAGGCACCATCGGACTTTGACAACAATTGCAGGATGGCAAATGCTTCGCTGAAGATGGATGATCTTGGTCCGCAAGCCATTTCCAACATGTTGCAGTGACTTGCTACCTTGCAGCTGCTTGACTTCCCAGTGCCTTGGCATTTGGTGATTTGCGATGACCATGTGCAATGTGCATTGGCTTGATGCTTGTGCGGTGAGTGCTCATGAGCCGTGATGAGTGCTTGAGGTGATGCATGCAATGACATGCTCGGCTCTGAGACTGCTGCCACAATTCGGTTCACAGGAGTCCGGGCCTCAAGTGCGAGTCACTGCGAGTCCATCAGTGTCAGTGGAAAAATGGGAATCTGTTGGAAGCTTCACAACCACGGGCAAGCTGCACGTCAAGCTGCACGGCAAGGTTGTCCAACCTCGTGCAGTCATGCGCAACATTGCTTTTCGTGAAGATCCCTTTGCTTGATGCCGTCGAATCTTTAGCTGTCAGCTCTCTCCGCTTGAGTTTTCGACCGCGGCTCGCCATAAATCGAAGGCACCAAATTCATGAATGCAACTATTGCATACTATTGCGTACTATTTCAACTACTGTGCTACCTTGACATAAGATGTTGGCTAGTCACGGCTAGTCATACTGGCTAAAGCCTAGGGGACGACTACCAAGGTTGGAGCTGAGCAACATGGTGTGGAGCTTCGCAACGTTGCAATCCGGAGATGGTATACAGTTTGCAAAGATGGTTATGCCCCACTTGGAAGGCTCGCAGCTCATTGTTTGCATATGTTTGCATGATCTTTCTCAAACTGTTCGAATAAAGGGCTGGAGAGTTGTAGATGCAGCAAGAGGCCTTTGCAACGAATTTGTATTGACAACAACATGTGACACATGTGTTGTGTTTTGGAGTGGAGGGCTTCCGCCAGAGGGTCTTGCAATCTCTGCATGGACTCTGGTCGAGTTGCGCTGCGATGCAACAGTGCTGGATGCCATTGCTGAAACGGCAAAGGGGCAGGTGCCGCTGGTGCCGGGAACATGGGAACTGTGGTGAGAAGTTAGCTGATCTTGGTTTAAAAGACTGAACGTTGATTCTACATGATTCTACCATCCAACGTGTCTTTTGACGCATCTTTGTATGCAGAAGAATCATGAAGAATCTCGGGCTTGCTTGCATTCGCTTCGACATCATTGCGCAAACAAAAGGGACGCGACACACACGGACACGCACAGACACAGACCATGGCTTTCTGTTTTCCGGTTTGCAGGTGGCGGCCTTCGCCCAAGAGGAGTTTTTGTTGGGACGCTGGAGACAGTGATTTGCGGAATGACAGAACCGAAGGACAATTTACTTCGCTTTGAACTATTGATGATGATGGCGCATGCCTTTGAAATTCGCACGGTCATGACCGTTGCTGTTTCTTGATCCTACTAGTATCTATTATATAGTTATACTATATCACGCAACCACACTAGTTATAATATAAACAACTGAAATAACATAAAATAACATAAGTATAATATATATATATATAAAATTATATATATGCACATCAAGATAAGTATTCCCTTCCAGGAGTTCCGAATGCTGCTGTGGGCGCTGCCCCATGGTGCGTTGGACTCCGCGGTCTCACTGCTGGAGCATGCGGAGGCCCTGATTTTTTCAGGAGACCAATAAGTCAATGATGCCATGCTATATACATATGTTACACACATATATATATATAATATATATTATAGTCATTATATAATCATTATATATATATATATGTTACATGATGATATATGATTATATATATAATATATAATGTATATGTATAGATATACGTCCACATATCATGCGTACGCATCTATGTCCATATCCATCACTATATCCTAAATTTGAGATCCTTGGGGAGTCGCTGAGATGAGTCAAGCGTATGAGAATGCCACACTATGTCCCGATGTCAGGCACACGGGAGGCATTTGACTGCCCAATGCCTGAGCAGTCTGATTGCAGAAGCTGAGCAGACGGAGCTGCACCAACTGGAGGCCAGCGGGAGGTCAACGAAGCATCGAGCATCGCTACCAACTGATGGAACTCTGACGGAACTCAGGAGACTGCCAACTTTTGCCTCATTTCAGTTCGTTTGCCGCTGAATTGTATTTTAAAAAAATATATGTATATATATATAAATATGTATTAAGCTAGCTCAACAAATTGACCACAATCCTTATCCAAGCACATGCATTGCCAGTCCGTTGCTACTCAGATTATTCAGCAGTGTCGTATCATGTCGTCATGGCCTGGTCGAGATTGTGTTCCGATTGGTCCCGCATGGCTGGAGGCAGCACTTTTGCAGCGGCTTGGGAGTCCTTTGTGCTCACCATCTCCAGCCCTTTCAGACCTGGCTGCAGGACGAGACGGTGCACAAGCGAACATACGCAACATGCGATTTGCAAAGAGACCAGACATGTAGAAAAGCCACGAAGATTCATGTGGTACATGTACCACATGATGACACATGGAGCCAATTGCCAACTGAGATTTGGAAATTCGGAGATAATAATTGCCTAATGGCAGCTTACTCTTTTGGCGCTCTTGGCTCCATGTTCTTGTCGCCGTACTGCGACTTCAACCGGGAAAGCACCGCTCTCAGGAGAAGCTCGGCGGATTCAAGACGTTGAAGATGTGCCGAAAAGACACGCATCGCCCGCATTGCTGATAGACTCTGATAGTTATTGCTTTTGGCTTTGCGTCGTTTCAGATCAAGAAACAACCTCGAAAATAAACACGGCTTCAAAGATCGCAGAGAGATGAAAAAGACATTAAAAAACTAGACATTAAAAAACTAGAAAAACACTCCAGGGGCCACTTCTGTTTTTGCCCTTTGGCTCAAGTGACTTTTCAAGCTGCACTCCTTCCGCTTGCGGCGATTCGTGCGGGATCCTGGCTTCCGCCTGCCTGTCAGGGACAAAAGGGATTATACCGATTATACTATGCTGCAGAAAATAAAGACGGAACATGATAGCACCACCACAGCGTCAAAAGAAATGGAGGTGCAAAGTTTGGAGAGGCTTAAAAAAGAAAGGCAACTAATTTGTAAAAGAAACAGCATATCTCAGGAAAGTCAAAAGCGAAAAGGGACTTGAAGAGGGAAAATTGTGGGACAGATGCGCACTTATAATCTCTTATATACCAGTTGTTATCGTGAAGTTTCACACCTCCAATTGGTTTGGCCTACATAAACGCCGCGTGTTGCCATTGTCTCAAGCAGCTTTTAGCCTTGGAGGTTGGCAAAGCAGTGATTGTCGTCAGAGACTGCGCCCAAAGCAGCGGAGTTCTGAACATTGCCTCAAGCTGATGCAGAAGTTGGCCGACACACAGGCTGAGAGGTTTAGACAGGTTCCCTTGGAACTCTCAAGAGTTTCATGGGGATTCATAGGGTATACGTTGAATGATGTTGAATGATGTTGAATGATGTTGAGATGTCGGAAATTTGGACTGAGACAGTTGAAGCACGCGCTGTGACAAGCCTTGCCATGGCATGAGCCATGGAGCCGGGCGACGAAACCGGGCTGCCTGGGCCGATCCCTGGGCCGATCCCCGGGCCGATCCCCAGGGAAGCTGAGAAAACCTTCGTGTCTCGGCCGCTGCACAGCCACGTGTAGCCACAGTGTGTTGCGTGTGTTGCGTGTGTTGTGTTGGCGTCGTGCCACAGCAAGGCTCCCAGGCTGCCGTCTCAAAGGCAGTGCTGCCCTCAACGCTCTGCGACAAGCCGCCAGATGTGTGGACAAATATGGAAGCACGTATAATTATAATTATAATTATATATATATACACATACGTAGTACATTATAGTACGTCGTAATGCAGGTTCAGCATAGATGTAAGGTGGATTTGACATGTTCATATCTCTGAGTAAAGGCGTTTATTGCTGAATAAAACCGTTTGACCGTTTGGTAAGGACAGTCACATCCAACTTGACCACTACAATCGATTTCTTGAAGCCTGGGGCTTGGACTGTGCTTGTGCGGGAGAAACGAACTCGTTCAAGTTAAGCTGTATTAATTTGTTGCAATGTTGGAACAACGGTGAAGAAGTACGGGAATCTTATGTTGCATGCTGTGTCAAGACTATATCATTCTCAAACTGGTACATGGCAGATTCTGGGAAGAGCAAGTTGACAGAAGCCGATGGAGTGTCTCCCCCACCAACCAATGTCGCAAGCAAGATTCCCCGTCATTTCATTTTTCCACTGGACCATTTAAGTCATCCGCTTGGCAGAGACTTCTTTAAGCTTCTTTGTAAGACTTGGCAAGGCATGAAGTCGAATCATTTCCAAGGAGCTGATATCACAGTAACATGTACTAACATGTAGTAACATGTTGTAACATGTAGTAACATGTAGTATCATGTAGTATCATGTAGTAACTGTAGTCGAACCAGCCTATGCTGTACATAGGTGCTCACCAACACCTCGTGTTGCCCGAGATGCTGCACACGTGACGTGCAACGTGCTGCTTGGCCATCTTGGAACAGTTGAACCCCGTTGAACATGTTGAACGCTGAAAACGTGGTGAAATAATGAGCCTTATGAGCCTTTCACATAGATACTTAAGGTATCTTAACGTACTTCGGTTTACTGTGAAATTGGATCCCGCTGAGTTGGGGCAGAGGTGAACCGGTGAACCGGTTCAGCCTTGAGTGATCTAATAGGTTCCCCGGGTACCCGTCATATCCCGTGATAAGATGATAAGACAGCTGTGGGTCCTGTGGGTTCGGAACGGCAGGGCGGCTCTGAGCACAGGTCTGAGGAGTTTGGATATCCGCACCCTCCACGAGTTGCACAAGGTGTTGCCAGGTTGCAGATAGTTTGGCAAAGTCCTCCAAGCTGGTCTTTTCCAGGTCATCCCGCTTTGTTTATATACTGTACATATGTATATATATATTATATTAAATTATATATATATATAATATCTATATAATTTATATAATATATATATATATGCATATATATATATTCATGTTGTTTTGTTACTGATCTTATAAAGTCATCTTTATATCCATTTGTTTTTGTATTTGAATCCTAGCTTCCCGAAGGCTTGCAGCATCACCAGACAAGGGAGAATCTGATACATTGAGTCAACAGCCGCTGCATCGGCAGCAGATTCCAAGTTCCAAGTGACCAGCAGTGACCAAGGTCAAGTCGCGATTTGATGCGCCCAGTAGGTCAAGTGGCCCACCAGCCTCACCAGCCAGTGATGGGAGCAGATTTCTTCAGGACGCTTGGTTCGCAACACGGCAGCTGAAAGGGTAGAGACAAGTGAAGAGGTCTAAAGGGACATCCCAAAGTCCTGTGTTTCGTCACCAAGCTTTAATCAAACACATTTGTGCAGTTCCGACTTTGACATTTTCTAATTGTTGTCCTGTAAGGTCAGCGAAACGTCCATCCCCCTGAAGCCATCCTTTGCAGAAGCTTGGCTGAACCGTCCTGGGGTATTGATGGGATTTGATTCCATTTTGAATGGTTCTGATGGGTATTGTAATTGTGATTAATTGAACCCATTGTGGTGTTGTATGGTAGTATGGTATTGTATTGTATGGTCTTGCATGGTATAGCGACACAGAGACAAGTGTTGCCACAGAAATTGGACATCTGGAGCCAGGAAGAGCTGCGTTCGGCCACGGCATGGACCGCGTGGACCGCATGGACCCCGACCACAGCAACCCCAAGTGCTACTCCACCCGAGCACCTTGCAGCATCAACTGGACATGGACATAAAAGGAGAAAAATACAACAGGAAAATAAATGTTTCAGAATCTCAAAGGCAAAGTGTTGCAGTTGCTGCGGTGATTTGAAGTATTTTGATGTATTTTGATATGCAAGTTGTACACACACACGCACACATCACATATATATATATGGGTATGTATATGGCTTTTGCATGTGTATGCATGTATGTAGGTGTATATCATATTGCATATTGCATTAATGTTTGTGTGGAAGAAACGGTTTGGTGTCACTCCGTGTCTCAGCATCGCTGAGGCCCATCCGCCTGCGGCTGCCAACGCCGTCGCCATCCTCGCCGAGTGCCATGAGCCCTGCAGTGCGACGGAGTCTGGCGGAGCTCCTCGGCGTCCAAATTGCCAAAGAGTCCAATGAAACACGAGTACCAAGAGACAGAATGAGACAGAGAGATCACCGAAGTTTTGTGGTTTTGGATGGTTTTGGATGGTTTTTGATGATTTTTGCGTTTGCGGTGCCAAGGCTAGACCTTTTGGTGGCAGAGGCATGTCTGTCTTTTCTTCGACATCGCTCGCATTCTCCTTGGTAGTAGTTTAGTGGACAATGGCTTTTAACACATTGATGGCAGTTTTGGTGCAGATCAGATCTGCGAGCTGATTCGTTTTGAAGGCAGAAAGTAAAGTGCGGAATTTGGAGCTGGGCCATCCAAAGCTATGCAGCTTAGCTATATGTCTGGCATGGTGCTTGGCTCCTTCCTGACATCCACCACATCCAACACATCCAACACATCCAACATACCCAACCCGAGAGTGCATGGCTTTGTTTGTCCGGCAGCCTGCAGCCTCCAAGGCATGACAAGCGCCCACTTTGCACCCAGCTTGGAAGTGTGCTTTGGCGTAGAGAGTTGGACTGAGGTTATCGGGTGAAATCACTAGTGTAAATCGGGCAGGTAGCAGAGTCACAGGTCTCAGTCTGACCAGCTTGAGTTTCAACATGTTTCAACATGTTTCAACATGTTTCAACAGGTGACTTGTACACATATCTGGTGCCAGGTGCTTTCAGACTGCGGAGCAGGCACTTCTTCTGACCAAGCAGCGCGCGAGGGCGTTCGAAGGTCAGGAGCACCTTGTAGTCAATGCTTTCTATGGTCGACGTCGTCCAGGGAGTCCAGGACCAACATCTAACCTTTTCAATACAAAGATGTGTATATATTAGTATATTTATACATATTATAACAAAAACATACGAGGAAATAAATATGCAAAAAGAGTTGTAACGCAGAAGATATCCCAAAAAATGGCCACAGACATGCACGCATACGACGCATACGTTCAAGGAATGAATATTTTTCCTGCGAGGGTCACTTCCAGAATGTGGCGACGGAGGTTGTTGCCCCAGCATGTGTTGGATGATGAGTTGCATGTGTTGTTCAGCCAAGGGATGCGCGCTGCAATGTTCGGACCCCCAGACGAATAGGATAACCGGAAGTAATCCTTGTTTGAGGTGCTTCCACTGCTTTCACTGCTTTCACCGGTATCTTGTTGGCTTGCAGAGTTTGTTCCCGCCCAAGGTGGCACAGAGAATGCACCTGGCAGCTTTGCGAGCCTCCATTGCTGAGTTGGATCTCAGGCAGAGAACTCCACCAGGGCCCACAAAATTCAAAGATTATTTTGCTTCAATGAATGGTTTTAGATGGCTTCAGATGGTTTCAGATGGTTTCAGCAATTTCACCTGCACCATAGCCGTCCTGGAGGTTTGAACGCCTGCTGTCCCTTGTTTGCAATTCTTTTTGGTATACTTAGGATAGCGGACCCTGACTGAAACCGCAAGTATTGAACTTAGGACATTTTCAAACAGTCAGTTTTGTTTTTGCGAGCACTTTAGGACCATCCATGTTTGTAAACTTTTCACTTGGTGGTATGCAAAGCATGCAAAGCCTTGGGGAGGAACAGCTTTAAATCGTTGTAGCTTTGGACAGCAAAGGTCCTCGTCCAATGAAGCAGCTTCCACACTCCCGCAAGACTCGCGCGACACCATTTCAAAGGAGGGGGAACGTGACCAGAAAAGTTGACTTTCGAAAGCGCTCTGAGTTCTGGAGTTTTCGAAATTCCCAAACGAATTCTGCAGAATTCCTATCGAATGAATTCCTGGAAAATCCTATCATTCGGAGCCATTAATTGAAATTCATGGTCATTCGGAGTTGGAAAATGTCAGGACGAGCTCGCGCCTCCCATCGTTCCTCCTGTCATTCTCCCGCCTGTGGAGCCTGTGGAGCCTGTGGAGCCTGTGGAGCCTGTGGAGCCTGTGGAGCCGGAGCCTGCGGTGCCGTCAGTGCGCCAGGATCGGCAAATGCACAGGGTTAAAACAGTGAAAAAACACATGTCAAAACATCAAAAAACATATTGAAATATCCAAAAATATGGTAAAATCATATAAATTCATAAATCTTCGTTTTTCGCAGCGATTCCATGGTTAATTCATGTTAATTCCATGTTGAACTTCTCTGAGCGCGGGGGGAGCTTTGCACCTTTCGGGTCGTGATCCAGTCACGGCATGCGACGTGGTAGGTGCCCAGCCTGACACAGCCTGAGGCGTGTCATGTGAGCTGTGCATGTCACGTGGATGTCATGTGGATGTCGTCAAGCCTCAAGCTTCGCAATGCGGCTTTCACAACGTTGCCAGGAACTGCTGGCCAAGTGCCAAGACGTCCAGGAACTGCTGGCTTGTTGAAGCTTCTTGAAGCTTGTTGCAGTGGCAGTTGAAACATGTTGAAACGTGCTGAAACAGTTGAGCTCAGTGGGAATTGACGTGCAGGCTCAGTTGGAAACAGCCCAGGCACAGATCGATGTATTGAGCAACTTGGCACGATGGATGGTGAACTGAGAGGAATCGAGCATCCGAGCATCCTTGGTGTGTTTTCATGTGTTTTGTTGTTTCGTGAATGGATGTTTAGTTCACCAGAGTTCAGAAGAGTTCATCGCATCCAAGAAAAAGCTGCCCTGTTGGTGGTGTTAGGTTTTAAATCTCAGGAAAGGAAAAGGCTGAGCTTGTTGAGCGGAATCAGAAGCTTGAAGAGGAGAAGAAGCAGTGGTGCAAAGATCAGGAGCTTCCTTGTTGACCCCACAGTGTAAAACAATGTAAAACATGTAAAGAATTGCAAAGACGCAAACATCTTGAGAGTTGACACATAAGACATGACATGAGTTGACTAAAGTTTGAGGCTGGGAATTTGTGACGATTGGTGACTCGGCCTGGAACGTCCACCGTTTGTCAAGATGCGGAGCCTCGGTGAGGATGATCTGAAGAGAGTTCTGCAAGAGTTGGATGAGCACAAAGCTACGAGACAAACACTCGAGGCGGAACATCAGATTTTCCACGACTTTGTTCCGAATGGAATCTGCAGGCAGTATATAGAAGATATTAATCAGATACTATATATATATAAATTCTTGTTTTCTCAAGACCTGCAACAGTTCAACAGCTTTACTATCATTCATGAATCATGAGGAGAATGAATACCAAATCTGGCGAATGTATGCGAATGTATGAGACTGGTCTTGACGTCTTGACCTGTCGGAGTCGGATGATTTGGTCCCAGGCGGTGAAAGATCTGCCGCCTGCGCCGGCGCCTGTGGCGCCTCCGTCGAGGTCCGAAGCCGTGGCCGTGGAGACCGTGGAGACCGTGGAGACCGTGGAGGTCACTGGTCCACTGGCGACATGGCGACAGCCTGGACCGTCGCCGTCGGCCGATGCGTGAGATGGAGATGGTCCACATGGTCCACATGGTCCACATGGTCCACATTCTAAGACGCAGACGCAGAATTCAGATGGAGACTGTTTAAGCATAAAAAATATCATTAAAATGTTCAAGGATGTTCAAGGTCTTTCTTGAATGTCTAAGAATGTTTGAGGTCAGGAAATCATCTCATCTCCCACACTTTGGGTCCTCTGTGTGGGTCCACACTTTGGGTCCCTGCGAGTTTTACGCAGAAGATCCTGCACAGCTATGCACAGCTAATGTTCGGAGTCTTTGGTGTCAAACACAAAAGCTCTTGCTCAATGTCTCCTCCTCGGCCTGTCAGATCTCACAAAGCAGAGAACCTGATCAGCCATCAATGCTTAGAAGCTTCAAAGCTCGCATATCTCGCATATCTTGCATTTGGTTGAGCTCTAGTCACAAGCATGTCAGCCGGATTTGGTGCCATCAAATGCGAGAAAGAAAAGTGGAAGTTTTGTGCAATTTTTCATCCCTTCGCATTCAACTTCGCAAAAACAGAGTCTTTTTGGAATTCCAAAACGAAATCTGAAGCCCAAAATATTCTGAAACCCAGAATTTACAGAATTCTGAAACGGATCTCGTTTCGTCATGTTTCGTCTGCCCTCTGCCTGGCTCTGGCTGTGTGCACACAAGGACATCACACAGCGAAGCGATGGCTTCTTGCCAGGGCCTCAAAGTCAGAACATGTCAGAACTGTCAACTGTCACAGAATCAGAACACTCTTTTCGAAATGTATCGAAACACTGCAGTATGAAATTATAGATCATCTATGATCATCTTAGATCATCTTAGATCATCTTAGTACAAACTGGTATGTTCTGTGTTCTGTACCTTTGTCCAATATATGAATTCCCAGACTTATAGACTCATAGACTCGACCCGGAGTGTCGCCGGAAAGTCGTTCTCAGATAACGTGATCCTCGCGCTCTTCTGCGCTGGCTGCGTGTCCATGGCCTTCGTGGCCCCGGCACCAAGCCGTCGGCATCTCGAAGTCAACCGAAGTCTCAACGGATGGCCTGGGATAGGCTTGCGTATGCTTAACAAGAGGCTTGCCTGGTAAGGTTTCACCATGGCTTTCGTATGCTTTCGTTGTCAACATTTCTCAACATGTTTAACCACTCGTTCATGTTTCGTGAAACCTTTCAACCTGTGTCTCTGGGGGCCCACGGGCCCAAGGTCCAAGTGTGATGCCTTCGCAGGAACGCAGCGACGCAGCCTTCCAATTCATGGTCGTTGATTTTTTTGATGTTGCTTTTCTAACAAGACAAGGTGACAAGAATAGACAAGAATGTAAAAACTCCTGCAGTAAAACCATGTATTGTATATATCATCGATCTGCCCGATAGCGTTGGTTCAAAACAGAGCTTGCAGCTTAGCGGATTTTAGGTTCACCCCATTGGTATTAACCCAATTGTTGGCTGACCTTGTAAAATACAGGTTATCAGCCGTAGTCTCACTACTTTGCTATGGGGACCCCAATTGACCATCCTCTCGCCGTTCCAGGGTCAGGTCCATCGGCTGTCGCTGTGCCTAATATGGCCGGGGGCAACCCCGAGCCGATGGATGACGAAACAATGTTCCAACCCGTTGTTGCGTACTTTACCTTCATACAAAACAACCTGTCCCAGATTACTAGTGGGAATACCCTGCAAGTCATGAGGGAAGCTGAACAGAGGCACCTTCAGATAATGCATGGAGTAGTTGACTCAATTCGAAACGAATGGTCAAGTAGACTCGTAATGCAGGAGCAGGAGTATGAGCAAAGGCTGCAGGAGGTTGAAGGTAATGCCATTAGTGCCCTCAACGAGGAGAGGAAACGAGGCGACGAGATGGAGGTCAGGTTGAATCAGGCTCAGGCATCGCATGACAAAAGAATAGAGGATGTAAAGGCAGAGGCAAACACAAAGCATGATCAGAAAATTGCAGAGGAAAGAAAACGTATCACTAGTGAATTCGAAGCTTCCTATGCACAGACAGTTGAACATGCAAAGAATGCCATAGCTGCCACAAAGAAGCAATATGAAGATCAGGCTGCAATTGATCAGGCCAGGTTCATCAGTTTGAGGACTGAGTTTGAGAACTACAAGAAGGAGATGGCCGACAAGATCAACGAGGCAGCGGCTCAGAACCTTAGCCTTCAGGACCAAATCGATGATCTTCAGGAGCAGTTAAAGCATGTTGCCAAAGCGCAGCATGCCTCCGTTCCGAAAGCATCCGTCCAGAACGCCGAGCCGGCCGCTACCACTAGCGTGCCCCACTTCAATATTGCCACTCCCAAAGCATCCGATGCACAGGCTGCCAGAGGCAGTGATGAGCCGATTCTTGAGTTTAAGACGCCTGCAGTGTTGGCGCAGGAAGCAAAGGCCAAGTTGGATGAGCTGCTCAAAGGTGGCAGTCCCAAGCAAAAGCCGGCTGTCGGCAACGACCAGCCCCAATTGCCAACGCAGTCAGGGTTTTTCACTCCCACTGAAGCTATCAAAACTCCCCCAAATGAATCTCCCAAGAGCGCAACCAAGCAACAGCAAGTAATGGGTCCCTCAGATCTTATTGAATTGGTGAAAGCCTTAACCCAAAGGGAAGAAAAGGATAAGCCAAAAACTAAGGAGGCTGAACTCATCAAGCTGAACAACATGCCCGCTCCGGAGTCATATAGAACTTGGAAGAATCATGTCAGGGATGAAGTGAAGAGCTGTTCAGATCGCCCGGATGAGGCGTGGCTCTGGCTCAACGAGGTGTACGATCAAGAGTGCACCAGAGAGCAGTTGGAGAAGAAACTCCAAGATCCTGGAAAGTTCCTTACGCTGGATACAAAGTTATCAGCAGCGCTCACGCGCTCAGCCGGAGGGGACCTCGCAACTAGGATCTTGAATTTCAAGGAGCAGCAATCCCGAAAAGGCATCCAGGTCAGGGGAAGATATGTTCTGCTTATGTTTGAGGACTACTTCAAGACATCAGAAGAAGCAGGTAGCCTTTACAGAGTAGAAGATCTTTTGGGTGTTGTCAAAGTAGGCGATACTGTCCAGGATCTCCGAAGATTCATCAACAAATGGGATGCTACCCTAGCTGGCATGGCTGTCACCCCTGATGATGCTGTGTTAAGGGACATCTTGTTGAGGCAGATCCGACCAAGTCAGTTGCTGAAATATGACATCGAGGTGTTTGACCGTGCTCATGAGAAATCCCATGAAAAGTCTTACAGTTTTCTTCACCAATCCATGAAGAACTTGATCGATCGTGAACGATTGAGGGAGAACAGGAACCGCATTGCGGAGAAGAACAAGGCTGGGATTAAGGACACAAAGGCCGCACCCGCCAAAGGCGATGGTCGCGGCGGCCGAAAGGGCTCTCCAAGTCGCGGTAGATCGCAGGAACGAGGTAGGCAAAGGCGACAAGATTTGCTATAAGTTCCAAAAGGGTACCTGTGATAAGGGGAAGAAGTGTCCATTCAAGCATGTCAAAGATGATAAATCTCGAACTCAATCACCCAGAAGAACCAAAACACGTTCACCATCAAGGGGCAATAAGGATGATAAGGGGAAGAAGATGTCTAAAGAAGAAATGGCTAAAACCCCATGCATCTATCATGCCCAGGGAAAGTGCAGATGTGGTGACAAATGTTTTTATAAACATGATGACAAAGCCGCTGCCGCCACCAAAGACACCAAAAGGGCCAATTCACCCGCTCCCAAGAAGAAGGGCAAGGATTCCACAGCCGCTCCATGTCTGATCCACAAGTTTGCATGCATCGTCCGAAAACAGCCGAAGGCAACTTCGTGCTCTGATGAGGCAAGTGTCAGCATGAAGCGCCTTAGATTCCGAAAGGCCCCACATGTGATCGAGGTGAAGGCAGTCGGTCGTCAAGTCCCAGTCAAGCACCGTCCAAGAGAGTTCACTAAGGTGTACAAGACAGCTGAAGATGTTCCAGTTTCATCGAAGGTTGAACAGCATGAAGCTCAGGTTCGTGCAAGACAGCTCCAAGAAACTGTGAAACTTCATGATTCAGATGTTGCACCAAGTTGTGGGTTTTGTTGTTGGGATGAGGACACACGCGACGTCACATGCAAAGAGTGCAGGTTCATCAGCGGTCCCAAAGCCCTTAGAGACATTGGTCGTTTCCCGTCAATTGCCACAGCTGCGCCAAAGGCCGGCGTTAGTTGGCTCGTTGACTCAGGTAGTGAATCCGATCTTGTGTCCAAAGGAATGCTGAGGGATGTAAGTGCCAAGAACTGCCGTGCAGCCGAGCATCCGATTTCCTTAGTCACAGCCAACGGTTCGACTGAGGCAAACGAAGTTGCTGATGTCAAGTTGTCCGCATTGCCAGATCCCGTGCATCCGTATGTGCTTGATCATACCCCAGCTGTGCTCTCTGTAGGAACGAGATGTGTAGATCAGGGTTACAGTTTCGTATGGCCTGCAAATGGCAAACCAATCCTAGTCCGTCCAGATGACAAGGTCGTCCAGCTCAAGATCGAAGGTCATGTCCCAATCTTGGATGATAGTTGCAAGGTTTATCCCAAAGATCAATTTCAAAAGGATAAGCACCTCAAAAAGCTGTTTGCAATGCCGACCTCACGGTCGAGCTCAAAAGCCAAGCGGGACGAAGCCCAAGATGAAGAGCAGTTGGATGAGTTGGTGGAGGATGACGCTCAGCAGGAGTACATCCGAAGCCGCAAGACTGAGGATCTGTTGGCTGAAGCTGCAAGTACCCAACATCAGTACACGCATTTCCCCAAGAACCCCTTTTGCAGAACTTGCCAACGAGCAAGGATGATGGCACCTCAGGCACGAAAGAAGGGTGGTCAGAAGAGAATCGAAACTGAAGTGTTTGGTGACCACATCATTGGGGATCATGTCATCATCAAGAAAAATGTAGAAGAGGGTTTCAGGGGGGAGCAAGTTGCGTTGGTGTTGAAAGATCTGCACACCCAATATCGGTATGTCTACCCTAGCCAGTCCAAGGACTCACAAAGCTGTGTTGATGGTTTGAATCACTTCATTGGATCAAAGGATGATGTTCAAGTTGTGTACACTGACAATTCCCCAGAATTGATCAGGGCCATCAAGGATTTGGGTTACAGACACCAAACTTCCATTGAATACGTAGATTCATCAAAGTCTTTTGCTGAGCGCGAAGTTCGTCAGATGTTGGAAGGTGCCCGGAGCAACTTGTTGCAATCAGGACTTCCTTTGAAGATGTGGCCATTGGCCATGCAGCATCATGCGACCGCGATCAATGCAAGCCCCCAGCTTGACGGCAGTGATTCCCCATGGCAACTCAGGTTTGGTGAAGAGTTCCCTGCAATGCACATTCCATTTGGTGCCAAAGTGTTGTTCTGGAATAACCCCAAGAGGTTGGATAACACATCAGGTAAGCTCTCCCCAACAGCAAATGAAGGAATTTTCCTTGGGTATTACATCCAACCAGGTCATGATTGGAAGGGTGAATACTTAGTTGCCAAGTTGGAAGCCGCAGATTATCATGTCAACTGGGGTGCACTGACAATCCAAAGAACAAAGAGGTTGGAATTGCCATCCGAGGGTTTCATCTTTCCTTTGAAAGCTCTGATCGACTCAAAAGCACCCAAAGCCGATCGCCTCGAGGACCAGGTCATTCCGCAGACACCCAAAGCTGTGCCTCTTGAGTCCAGTTTGCATCCACCGCAAGATGAGTATGAATACGAGCCAGGTACGCCTCTACCAGCCGACAGCGATGTCGAGCCTGATGCACCCGAAGCGCCCGTATTTCCAGATCTCAAACTGACCCCCAAAGGTGAAATTATTCCAGATGGACATCATTGGGATGGTCACCGGATTGTACGTAACTACAAAGGTTCAAAGCGTCCGGAGGGGATTGACTCAGAACTGTGGAAGATGTTAGGACCCCAAGATAGGAAGCTGATCATCGAGGAAGAAGCAAAGAAAGCAGCCAAGGAGCAGGAGGAAAAGCCAGCGTCATCATCTGGCAGCAAGGGCAAAAAGAAGAAATCTTCACCGGCCCGGCTTGAGGCAACTCAATGTCCTCCTGCAACTGCAAAGCTCGTAGGCAATGTTTGGGAAATCATTCCAGCCAATTCCCAAAAGTTTTCCGTGCCGGCAATGCCAAAAGTTGCCGCGCCTGCCACAATTGAGCACCGGCCTCGAATTAGAGAGCTCGTCCGAGAGAAGATCAAGGAACTTGAGTTCAAGGTTGCACTCGAGC